ACTGAGAATCATAAACTAGTTTAGAAAAATAATGCTACTGTCTTTCCTGTCAAATTTCGGTCAGTCAAATTTCAGTCTGTTCCCCCACACAACACTATCGTCATAACTTATGATATTTTATGGTGCTTTTTTCGTAATTCCTGGACACATACTGTATGAACTGCTGTTGCATTGGAATACCTGTACTTTTTTTTTACTTAAATTTTTTTTATATTATTTATTTATTAATTATTTTAATTGTTTAACTACGTAACATATATAATAAAGGTGTATCAATGCACATTTCCCGCCAGTCCTGTGTAAACTACGGCACGCAAAGTTTTTTTTATTTATTTATTTTTTAATATCATGAGATGGCGGAGCGCAAGAAAACAACGCAGTCTGAAGCTGCTCACTTCGACGATCTTGCTCGTCTCAGTCTGCTCAATCTTGGTGATGTCAGTGCCCTAACAGATGTTATAATGGACTATTTCACACCCAGAGATGAAGGATCAGATGATGAAGTTACTAAAGAGGAGTCCGATGACAGTCTGTTATATGCACAGGTGCGCTGCGCTCGCTTTTCTAAATGTAAACTACAGGGTACACTATTTGTGCTATCTAAACATACAAGGGGTGATCAAAAGTTCAGAGACTATGCCCATCATATATGAAATACTGTTATATTTATATTGCTTTATTTTTATATATAAGATATATGTTAGAAGAGTTTAACCAGGCCGCCAAAGCGAGGCAATTCTAAGAGAAATATATATTTTTAAAGTTTGAGGAATTTAAATACCTGTGCTGTGGCAGCTCTCTCCATCTGGATCAAGTCTCCAGCCAGGATAACAGGAGCACTTGACAGTGGTCTTATGCTGTTCGCATATCTGATTGCATTTCAGGTGAGCAGAGCAGTAGTCCACTGTCTCGCATGTTCGGTTGTCAGAGCCAAGATGGAGTCCAGTGGGACATGAACACACCACCCCTTTGCTGGGGATCACTGCACACTGGTGACTGCAGCCCCCATTACCTTGCAAACATTTTCCTGGAACAGACAAGAACAGCATGAGTGAGGACAAAAACAGAATCAATTTGAAAGGCTGGTGATATGAAGCCATGTTTGCAGGCATATGAGATTCAAGGTGCGAACTGAAACAGAAAAGCCACAGATGAACAAAGACCAACGGTATGGTTTGAACATTTGCACAAGGCTAGAAGCTTATCGCTCTTTGCCTCAAAAGTTACGGTGTGTCTTTCTCAACTAGGCCATTATTCTGACCTAATCAACATCACCAGCCAAGTGTGTCACAATAATAAAGAATTGCTTTATTCATGAGGTAGATTCAATGAGAAACCACAGGTCTGAATTATGACAGACTTTAGCCACTGCGCAGGCCAAACAAACTCATTCAAGGTGGAAAATGGCTTTTTCTTAAGTTTAAAACTGGGTCTCCGATACATCATCTCTTTTCAAAACGGATCAGACAAACTCCGGTACTCTTAGACTCTCAACTCTAATGGATAAGCTTTTTCCTTTCATCGAAGCACCTGGTCCTTTTTACGGGAGAAAGACAAAGGGGAGGAAACTCACAGCTTGCAAGGTATTTTTGCCTCTACTGATTATGATGATCCCCTCTGCGGCCGCAAGAGAGAATTGAATTTTCTTCACAGGGGGCCCTGAAGTCTATATGGAGTTGAAGAATAGCTGCTTCCCAAAGGTCACAAATGGCATTGAGTCCTGCTGTGCTGGTCCCAGTCAGTCAGTCACCTCAAGGTCCATTGGCACAATCTAATTAGCAATAAGAGGCCCAAGCCAAACGCAGGTCTAGTAAGACAGATAATACACCTCGTCCTCAGAACATGAGCGGTGGGCTCCCATGGGCGGCTGCTGGCAATGCACTGAAAGTCACTGAAATGTTTGTCTAGTCGCATTCTGAGAGAATTATACATCGGTGACTCTCAGGAGACACTTTCCCAAGTGAGGGCTTCAGAGGCAAACAGATCCCCATGTTTAGCTCTCATTCAGACAGGCTTCGTGTTTTCCTTGTGCTGGTAGCTTACAGAGCATGTGCTGGCTTTCCATTACACTCGCTCAAGGACACAACTCAAAGAGATTCAAGTAGCCCTGAGGGACATGCCGTGTGGGCATAAACACAGTATTATCAAAATCTTTTCACCCATGGAGAGGTAAACACAGTGCATATTGATTTGCTCAAGTGTATGAGTCCGAATCTATATAGCTCAGACATTTTATTCGCATTGGTTAGTTAGCGTTTTTCATGGTTTGGCTTCCTGTGTATTGATAGAACTACTCCGCATGACTACTTCTCATTCAACCCATCCAGCATTTCTTGCAGAACTGACCAGACTTCACGTAATAGCACAGTGGATTTCAATTAGCATTACACTCAAGGTGTAGTGAATAAGGCTGTGAATGCGGCTGTGAATGCAAGCATTATGAACCCAGTGATAAACTTTGCACACTTGCAACACTGCAACACTTGCATTGATTAAAGACCAAATTAATTCAAAAATTAAAGTTTTGTGGCTTTTAGACCATGTCTGTTTGCTCTGCAAAAAAAAAAAAAAAAAACCTTTAGCAGACATTCACAGCAATGTATACAAATTTTGTCTAAATGCTGCACTGTGCCACGGAAAGCCATGCTTTACACCAGTGTTATTACTGTTAACTAAAACTGAAACCATTAAAAATTGTTTTTGTTTAATTAAAATAAAAATAAAACATAAATATTAGATGAAAAACTAATGCCTTGGCAAAAAATAATAATAAGTAGTTTAAGTTGAAGCACTAAAATTACAAAAAAATTCCATTTAAATTTTAAATAAAAGAACTTAAATCTACCCTGTATATAGAAGTATCAATAACAACAACAACAACAACAACAATAATAATAAAGCCCATATCAAAATTACTGAAACTTTAAAAATATAATGAAACCGAAAATAATAAAATAAAACCTAACTTTAATAAATACTATAATAATATATAAATAATACTACTTTACAGGAATTTTACCATGGGTAAAAGGAGGTTCTTAAATGTAAACTCATAAAACCATTTTGAAGCTTATTTTGCTAATGTGACAAAAGACAATGTATAGTGAGTAATTTACAATGATAAATAATAATAAAACAGATACAACAAATACACAGAAAAATATATTTTTCAAATTTGTAAATAAAACAAAGACTACAAAGATTTTACAAGAAAATATTATTTCAGTAAATTTAACGTGTTACTTGACATTTCCTTATAATTGTTTGTGAAATTCACTAGCAATGTCTGAGTGAAAATTGTCTGTAGACCATAATGTTTTCAGTGTAATAAAAATGGGAATCAATCATTCTTCTGCAAAGTAATACAGTTCCTTACCCTAACTGCAGTCTGTTTACAGTTGCTAAGCAACATGGGCACACTAATATAGAATTAGCAGTCACAGGTGCGAATTTATTCGGCATGGCTCATCAAAATTTAGAGCTGAAATGATTCATATTTTATCAAATATTGAAGCAATACAGCACTGTAAAAAAGGACTGTGAATTTAACGGTAAAAGACTGTAAAAATGCTACAGTAAAAACCTGTTAAATGGTTAACGGTAAATTCCCCTATTATATACGGTGAAAAACTGTATTGGACATTAATTTTACGGTAGTGTACCATTTTTGGAAGTGAAAAAGACCGTATAATTTACAGTGAATAACCGTAAACGCGTTTTTTTTGTTGAAATAACTATGTTTCTTCTTAGTTTTTTCTTATCAGTTTTGTATATTAGGGTTGTGTGTTACACCTAATGTTGTTAAATGAATGTTTATTGCATTATTTCAGTTTCATGAGTGTTACCATGATGGTGTTTAGTGTTTGTGTGAATGACACTGTGCACCTTCTATACATGTTATTATTTAAAAGCTGCTTGTGATGGGCTTTGGTTCATCATGTGACTTTCTCATCACCACATGCATTTGGTGGTTAGTGTATTACAAAGGTACAAAACAGATTTCAGTACTTCAAAAGGTTGGTATATTAACATTATATCAGTTAATGAAATTACGGTATTTAACTGTAAATTTAAGTTAAAACCGTAAAACCTAAAACATTGCTACCGTATTTTTTACGGTAAAATTCCGGCAACCACAGCTGCCGTTTTTTTACCGTAAATTTTACGGAATTGTTTTTACAGTGAGAAGATGAGCCTCTTATCAAAGCCTTGCATGCACTCACCACAGAAAGGACCCTCATCGGAATGGTCAGCACAGTCGTTTCTCCCATCGCAGATCTTGTTGGGGGGCAGGCAGGTGCTGGAGTCATTAGCACAGGGCTGAGTGGGGGGCTTACAGATGGAGGACTCACACGATTCTTCATCCGAGCGGTCTTCACAGTCATTGTCGCCGTCACACACCCAGCTCTTGCTGATACACTTCCCTTGGGACACAACATTCAGTCAGACCGCTATATAAATCAAACTGTCAGGCTTAATTTGTTGTTTGTAGGTGAGCATGAAGATAAATCTGGGTAAATTTTAAAAGGTGGCGGAACGTCAAACTGGCATGACGTCAGATGAATACAGAAGCTTCAGCTCATTTAACCCTTAGAGACCCACTGAAACATTTGTTTAAACCTTTTTATTATTAAACATTTATTTTTCACACAGTGGAGCTCTTAAAAACCTTTTTTTTTTTAATGTTAACAGTTAATATTTTTATTAAGTGCTTAATATTTTTTTCTGGAAACGATGATACTGTCTTTGCAGGATTGTTTGATGAATAGAAATTTCAAAAGAACATAATTTATTTGAAATAGAAATTGTTTGAAACATTATAAATGTATTTAATGTCTCTTTTGAACAATTAAAGTGCATCCTTGCTGAATAAAGGTATTAATTAAAAAACTTACTGCCTCCAAACTTTTGAACAGTGTACTTGTACACTTTGCAAAATTGAAAACCCAGGATTGAAAAACATTGACTTGACTTGACTTGGCATTCGGTGTGTGGTGCAGTGGTCTGGAAAGTGTGTATGCTGCTGCTTTTTAGCACATTTTTGACATCAAAAGGAATAGGAACAAAACACGAACAATTCTTGAGCTCTTTTATGGCTTGGCTGTAGATGTCTTTTCAAGGCAATCCTTTACAATTAGGGCGACTGCTACATCAAAAAGCCCCATGTTGATTGATTTCACTATGGTCTGAGTGGAGAAAAAACTTCTGATAGATACAAATTACACCAAATATGTTCAAAAGAAACACAGAAAGCTGAATTCTGCACATAATACTTTTTTGTGTAGAGGTGAGATGTGTAATTTTTTTCCCAATACGTTCAATACTTTCCTCTACCACAGTTTAATATGCAGAAAAAAAATTGCAAGTGAGCTATAGTATTTGTAGGTTTGTTTCTTAATAGGTGCAAATCAATGGAAATTAAACATGGGAAACACCTGGGAAGAAATCAACTAAATCAGGACAGGAACAGGAAACAAACCAAATATGGGCATCGGAAGGCACATGGGGAGCAAGACACACACAAAACATGGAACAGAGTCTGACACAAACACTGTTTCTCTGTGGCGTTAGGAAAAATGTACTCTATTTGTTCCAGCATCCAGTCCAAAACAGCAACATTGGCTTAACCAGAGCTGCAAATTAGGGACTGGACTGTCAGTTTGACTGAGCAATAGCAAACTCAGGAGTGTTCGTGAAACCTTCAGGTGTCTTAATTTTCCATTTATTACTGCTAGCGGCACAGAAATTACCTACCTCACCTTTTTAGTTTAATGTCATAGCTAACTCTGAATATGGAACAGTGACGCTGCTACCAAAATACACCTCACTGTGAAGTACAAATCATTCCAGCTCACACCATTCATCTCAGCCGTTCTTCATAAATACGAATTGTAACATACAGAGATATTGCAAAGGATTGCACCATGTAACGAAAAACAGGCTGGATTTATCATCCGACACAATTAGCAAGAGGCAAAGATAACTGCATGCTCAAGGATGGCATTGTGGTATAAAATATCTCCCGCTGCTTCACAGAATTTAACAGTTTTGATATATGTTATACGGAACACAAGGAGAAAATATAGCTGTAGGTCAGCGCATGAAATAAATGTAAGGTCAGTACAGACTAACTGGTTTTGAGGAACACCTGGTAGGCTTACCTGAGCTTTTGCAGGTAAACTTTGCCTGGGGATCACACATTCTCTTGACGCCTTTGCAGTTTGTTTCATCACTGCCGTCTTCGCAGTCTTTATCCCCATCGCAGCGCCAGCGCTCGGGGATGCAGGTCCCATCAGCACGGCAGTGAAACTCCTCTCCACTGCATTCCACAGGAGGCAAAGCTGGACATGACACAAAAAACTGAGATTGATCCTGGGATATTCTGATTCCCAAACAAATGACTCGAGTTCTTTTTTAGTGAATCAATAAAGTATAGATTGACCAGGTCCTGAACTGTAATGAGTCGGCTCTTTCTAGTAAATAAAACATGTACAGAGTGACCAGTGTAGTTCAATTTCCGAACAGATGACTCTAATGAGTGTTTTTTTTAGTGTATGAAGAAACATTAAGCATGACAAGTGTAGTCCAGTTCCAACCCAAATAACTCGAATGAGTCAGTTCTTTTTAGTGAATCAAACATGCACAGCATGACCAGTGTATTTCAATTCCAGCACAAAAGACTTGAAAGAGTGAATCAAACATGTAGGCCTACAGTGTAATCAGTACTCCAATTCCTGAGTTGATTCTTTTTAGTGAATCAAACACATACAATGCGACCAATTCCTGAACAAAAGACTCTAATGAGTCAGTTCATATTTGTGAATAGAACACAAAGTGTGGCCAGTGTAGTCCGATTCTCTTAATAAATTATTATAATCAGTTGGTTCTTTTTAGTGACTCAAACACATACAGAGCGACTAATTCTGTCCATTTTCATAACAAATGATCCTAATGAGTTGGTTCATTTTAATGAATAAAGCACATACAACGTGACCAGTGTGGTTCCATTCCCAAACGAATTACTCTAATGAAACAGTTCTTCTTTTTATTGAATCAAACACATACAGTCGACCAGTGTAGTCCAATTCCTGGACAAATTACTTTAATGAGTCAGTTATTTTAAGTGAATAAAACATTAAAGGTGCCATAGAATGCATTGATACAATATTTTAAATTGTTCTCTGATATCTACATAGAAGGTATGTAGCTTTGGTAAGGGCAAACAATCTCCAGAAACGGTTTTACTTGTCCATTTACAACCCTAGGATTTGTCCCTAGAATGAAATGGTCTGTTTTTACCTTATTTGGAAGGGTCATGAATAATAATGCTGAGCTCTGCTCTGATTGGCTGTTTCGCAGTGCGGCTCAATGTTGAGCTCTGCTCTGATTGGCTGTTTCACAGTGCGGCTCATTTCAGTAGCTCACACAGCAGGAAGGAAACACAGTGAAAATATATATTTCAATACTTTCTCTCGCAGTTATATCGCTGGGTAATTATACTGTATATAAAAGTATATTTGCTTTCCGTGCCTTTCTGAATACAGACACCAACCCATCCCTGCACTTCACATCCCTTGCACAGCCTGGAACATAATATTTATTTCCATGATCTGCCATTTTCGCTGTTGTCCTCGCTTGTTTCTTCACAATACCTGCAGAACTTCTGATGATTTGGCTGTGCAGGTCCGGCTGGCCTCGAACATGGGCGGGTATATGCAAATGTTGGGGGCGTAACTATTAGTGATCCCGATTGTAACGTCACAGTCGGTGTTATGTTCTGAATCGCCTATTTTTCAGTGGTCTTTTGAATGCACAAGATTTACATAAGAAGGAGGAAACAATGGTGTTTGAGGCTCACAGTATGTCATTTCCATGTACAGAACTGTTATTATTCAACTATGCCAAGGTAAATACAGTTTTCCATTCTATGGCACCTTTAAACTGTGAGACGGTGTAAATTAACTGAATTTATGCCACTTCAATTTTTTTTTTAAATTATCAACTGCCAAAGGAAGAACACTTTTCTAACAATATTTATTACTTAAAAGTACTAAAAGAATCCATAATGTCACAGCTAAGGATTACAAATAGCAAGGTAAACAGAAAAGAAAAGAAAAGTTTTTTAAAGCTCACAGACGCTCTCACTTCAAACTACTTCAACAAGCCTTAATAATGTTAAACTGGCAGAGTTTTATCAAGCATACTTCAAGATTTCCTCTTGTCACATTAATAAATATTTAAATATTCTCTCCGACACTGGCAAAGACTTTAAGTGTCTGTGCGCTTCAACGCAAAGGACAGGGGCGAGATTTTCTTCAAGAGTAAGACGACCACAAAGGAAAAGTCTTTTATACTGTAGCCTGCCTCAAGTTTCTGATTCATTCTCAACCCTGACAATTGACAGGAATTAAATACATACTTCAAAAGCGTGTTTATACACCAAACCCACCTCAATCCCCTGCCTGCCGTTAAACAAAACAAATGGCCTCCTCAAAAAGACAGCTGGTAACATTACAAACCCTTAAAGATTAAAGGGCCCCCTCTTTGCTTAAGGCTAATACTGAGAGTTACCAGTGTCTCCTCCACTTTACACATACAGAGCATGTGTTATACAATGATCTGAGCCCTGCACTGGGAGGATACAAGTCGGACAAACCCTCAGAGACAGACAGGAGCTGAGGACCTCCGTCAGGAGCCCGTTTGATGAATGGCTCCAACATTTCTGTGACAAGCTTGGTGAGCTGAAAGCATTGGAGGACTCGGCCTCAGCTTTCAGAGGTAATTACAGCAGATTAAAAGATTCAAATCTGTAAGGTGGTTCCCTAGTGAGCTTAGATGAGATTAGATCTGTCAAGTGAAGAAAAAAAGAGAAAGTTTTAAACTTGTGTTCCTCAAATTAGGGACACTGCACCAAGGCAATTACAAGCAACACTGACTTGATCGCTATCGTTTGGCTCTTTGTTAGTCTGCTAATTAGTCGTGTTAAACAGATTCTCTGGGAACCACTCGGTAAGTTGGTTAAGTTGTTTGTGTATAGAAACGAACACAAATGCATTTTTAATTAATGTAACAGAGAAATGTGACCTCTCTAAACGCTATTTGATTACTCTGATGCTTTTATTGGCCATACACTGTAACTAGGGACAAGTACCCAAGTACTCAGAAGTAATAGTAACGCTGTAAAAACAATATTTCTGAATCATCAAGGTCAAGACTTTTTTTCCCACAATTTTAAATTCAGTTATAATGGCATATTGGGCGATATCTCATTGTATGATTAAAGTTTGACAGCGATGTGATTTTCAGTCTGTGGCAGTCACATTGCTCAGATACTTTACTATATACTATAATGCCATTTATGTCTCATTTGCATTTTACCATAATTTCTGTTATGACAACTCTCTGAGAGTACCGAGACTTGCTACTGCCAATATATCCCAAGACATGCCGCTGTGAACATGTAAGAGATACTGCTGCTGCACATATAACATATATGAAATAAACTAGGGCTGGGTTTTGACACAAATTTCACGATTCGATTTGATTACCAATTCGATTCGATTCGATTCAATATAGATTAGTTTGGATATATATCAGGTACAGTAGGCTACATGCCAAATGTTCTCAAGGAAAAAAAATCTCTCGACTAATGCTGTAAAATATACATGAGTTGGTACTACATTACTATAATATTGAAGGTTAAAATTGACTGATTTGTTAAAATTACACTTAATGAAGTTTTTAAAATAATAAAGTTACAATTACATATTAATATTTCTACTTCAATTAGTTTTTTTTAATATAAACATATTGGTGGCTGTCATAAAAACTTGATGGATTTATTCAAACATAAATTCGGCATTTATACTGCAATACAATGGACAGAATTTGAAATCTGAGACTTTGTTTCATATTAAAAGTACCAAAGCACAATGCTTATTGCGATATATTGGATGGGAAGTGCCCTTTCAACGTTCCGTCTATTAACTGAAAACAGGCTAGACTAATTGATTCTTGGGATTTAAGAATCGATATCGTTCCGTAAAAAAGAGAATCGATTAATATCGAGATATCGATATTTTTTACCCAGCCCTAAAATAAACCCCATATATAACATAGATGAAATCACTCCACAGCAGATCTATACAGGTGGAGCTGGGGAAGGTGGAGGGTTTCTGAAGCTGCAACTGCTACAGCAAGCACTAGCTGAGTATTTAAATTTTGAGTAGCAAGCTCATTGGCTGCTGATACGAAAATAAATCAATCAGCTGCAGCATGTGAATAATGATGTCATTATGTCAGATTGAGTTAGAACCTATCAGACTGCGCCATCTAGAGTTTCTGGATTTAATTATATGCTATTTTACTATTTGCATTTCTGGTTGGATGCTAAGTATATTTTACTGGCTCTCTATCTTGCATAATGACTATGAAATTGAATCTAATATAACCAAATCTAGATGGTGCACAAATGATCAAATGAATCAGAATGCAGGAGCCTTCATACAAGTTTTTAAAAATGGATCAAATTTTGAATTTAAAAATGGTGCTCACAGAAGATGCAGTTCAAAATATATCGATCTGATGCATTCTGTGCATACCAACCAAAAGTAACAGCCTCATGGTCCATGCCAAAAAGAAAAAAAAAGAAACACATAAGGCAAAGAGAGAAATGTGATGTCCTACCAGGGGCAACACCAGCACAAGTCACATTTTCATCACTGAAGTCCCCGCAGTCGTTGTCCCCGTCACAGGCCCAGTGGTCTGGGATACACCGGCCGCTGGTGCACTTATACTGACCATTAGCACAGGAGTGGACGCAGCCCGCCTCATCACTGTTGTCTCCACAGTCATCATCTACACTCACAAACACAGTACAGTCATGCAGAATAACTTAATTCATTACAATAGAAAACTTTTGACAGTATCATGTAGACATACAATACCATTTAAAAGTTTTGGTGGTGTATTTTTTTTTTAAAGAAGTCTTTTATATACAAACAGCAAGCCTGTTCTTATTAGATAAAAAAATACAGTAAATACAAAATAAATACAAAATTTAAAATAATTGTTCCCTTTCATGGGAACTTCGGACTGCGTCCTCTAGGGGTCGCTATGGGGGGAACGCCTCGTCACTACCGGTGCGACTATAGTACAAATAGGCCGGGAGCACACATCATTCTCTTCTTTGTCTTCATTGACTGTTTTGTTTGAAGCGTGCATTTCTGTGGTAAGAGCGATCTCTATTCATATCATTATGGCGAGCACTAGCAGAGGGTTTAGAGGATGTGAGCATCCGTGTTGTCGTTGTTTAACATCTGATGACACACACGATCTATGCGTTATTTGTTTGGGCGAAGAGCACGCACGCGATGTCTCCGAGGGGGCAATCGGCGTGCACTGCGAGGGTTTTTTCAAGGAAAAAGCTCCACTCTCATCGTTTGTCTCTCTTTTCAAGGAAAGACGGGCAGCCATCTGCTTCCCGCGATTCAGGACCTGCCGCTGAGGCTGAGCTTTCCCAATCTTCCTGCCCTACGTATGATGAGCTTTAGAAAGTTATGGATCGCGCCACGGCGAGGCTTTACTTGCCGTGAAGCGGGTGAAGAAAAAGACATCGTGAGGTCATCTATTATTAAAAAAAAACAAAAAACAAAAAAAAACACGATGAACGTTATTTTTCTGGCCATAACCCTCCAGCTCAGGTGAGCCTTCCTTTCTTCCTGTTTTCCATACAGAGATTGAGAAGGAATGGAAGAGGCCGTGCCCACTTTTCTAAAATCCACATAAGTGGTAAGTGTGCACGTTATGCTTTGCCCACTTTTCTAAAATCCACATAAGTGGTAAGTGTGCACGTTATGCTTTGCCCACTTTTCTGGAATCCTGTATGGTAAGGGTTACGCGTTATTGTTCCCTTTCTCTGAGTTGGTTTAGACCCCGGTACCTTGGGCTCCACTCAACTAGTGTGTCTCTGTCGACACACTCTGGAAGCATCGCTCCCCTCACCATTGAGGGTTATTGCAAGCATGGTGCTTTCTTTCGAGCGTTTGAATTCTCTCCCTTCTGAGGAGTTGGATTCCTCGCTCCATGGGCTGTTCTCGTGGTAGTGTTGAGCAGTGCTCCCCTTTTATCAAAGGGTTACCTGGAATGAGCACACTATTCCTCTGAATTCGGAGTTCTCCTCTCAGAGAGTTGAGTTCTCTGTTTTTCCCAGAGCACCTGGAACCAGCAGCATCAGGCGAACTAGGCCCTTCCTCTGCCTCTCTGATGCGCTGAGTTTTTTGGCTAGCTTGCAGTAAACTTACCCTTCTGATTCTAACAATCGTGCTGTAGGTCGAGTCCCCCTCTCATTGAGAGCTGGGTTTGTGCTCCCTCAGCTAAGGTAAATTACTGCTAGCCGTTCCAGCATTGGAACATGCTGCAGGTCGAGCCTCCTCTCGTTTGAGAACTAGGGGTGTTGCTCCCTCAGCTAAATAACACGTCTCAGGTTACGTATATAACCATGGTTCCCTGAATAGGGAACGAGACACAGCATCCTATAGGTTTCCTGCCATGCTTCGGACGCAAGCTTCAGACGAAGAAGAGGATGATGTGTTCTCCCGGTGCCTATTTATACTATAGTCACACCGGTAGTGATGTCATGGCTGTCGCCGGCCAACGAGTTGTTGGTGCTTTTTCAATGTATGCTTCAGACACAGGTCACGACGAGGCGTTCCCCCCATAGCGACCCCTAGAGGACGCAGTGTCTCGTTCCCTACTCAGGGAACCATGGTTACATAAGTAACCTGAGACGTTTTCTGTTTCAATATATTAAAAAAAGTAATTTATTTCTGTGATGGCAAAGCTGAATTTTAGCAGCCATTACTCCAGTCTTCATGAGCCTTCAGAAACCATTCTATAATATGCTGATTTTCAAGAAAAATGTCTTAATATTATCAATATAAAAAAAAAAAAAACTGTTGTGCTGCTTAATGTTTTTGTGAAAACCATGATAAGTTTTGTCTCCCCCCCCCAGGATTCTTTGGTGAATATAAATGTCAAAATAAAATATTTTAATTTGTTTATAATTTATTTGAAATAGACATCTCTTGTAACATTATAAATGTCTTCGTCACTTTTGATAAATTTAATGCATCTTTGTGCAATAAAAATATAAATTTCTTTAAAAAATGACTTTAACTTCTAAACAGCTGTGTATATGGTAGGGTGTTTTTCATCATGTATTGTCACATAGATTGCGTTGCTCCATCAAAATACAATAAAAAATAAATAGATTTTATGATCGTCATACACTTTGGTACCAGAAAATGGCACTTTTTCCTTAAGGGGGTCTTTAACCCTGTTGTGCCTCATGCTTTGTTGCACAATACTAGGAACTGAAATGATAAAACAGAGGACAGCACCACAGGAGATTTTCAAACAAGAGTCTTCAGGGCATCGAATTACGCCAAGCCTCATTTTGTGCTGAAAAATCAGCAAGGTATCCGAAGGCCCTGACCCTGGATAAGAAAAACCGCCTCCATATGCTGACCTTGGCTGAATGCTCTCATTTGAGGACAAAAAAGGGGGGATCGAAAGAAATAAGAAAAACAGATATAAACGAGCAAGTTTTATTGTTGTTGATGATCGAGTGCTGCACGCAGACAATAACGTATTGCAGACCTTGAGGGCCAGCAATAAATTATAGAGGTCGTTATTTTACACCCTCCTTGATCTGAAATGGAGATATTTCAGATAAAATAATCTGTGAATATTTAATGGTTATTAATGTGATGAATTTCTTGTGCGACAAAAAAGACTGGACAGTAGGATCAATGGACTTAATTGAATTAAAGTGTTGGGCTTTCTTTTATCAGCTCCCGAGAAAATAGGCTAATACATCATAGTGCTAAATGGAAGAGCAGGTAAAGCAAATGGTAAAGTATTTTCTTACTTCTGGATACACTTACCTGAGTCACAATGCCACTTCATGCTAATGCACCTCCCATTAGCGCAGCTGAACTGGCTGAGAGCATCGCAGGTAGGAAACGCTGTGAGAGAAAAGAAAGACCATGAGAAACGTTTGCCGCGATGCTTGAACCCTGTCCAATACATCACTGTCTCTTTGATACACTGGAGAAGCGAAGTCATTTTTCATTTAGCTTTTAGCTTTGAGAAATTGCAAAAGAAGTTTTTCCTGGCACAGATTGCCCTGTCATGCTAATAGATTAAATTTGGAGGCTCTTTTGTCCTCAAGAAATTTCATTGTTTCTTGCAAGTTTGGGGGCGAGCTTAAATCAGTAACTATTCTCTTGCAGTGCACTGCATTTTTTTTAACACAAGTCATACCACTGGGGTTTAGTGCCAGTATTGCGGAAAACGAAACACCCTGAAGGTCATGTGAAATGTCATTGTGAATTATTGCTATTTTCTTGCTAAGGTTAATGAAAATAAATCACAAACAAAGGGAAAACGAGACCTCACAGATGCAGTGGAAAACAGTCAGAGGCAATAAGAGCTCGCCAGGAAGCAATAACACACCAGCTATGAGATAGCACGGTGTGTGCGCTTTACAACAGCGTTGATTTAAAGATATCAAAAGGTTATTGTTTCAACATTATGAATTACTGCAGGTTTTGCTATTAACCCGTGGATCACGATGCCTTCGGGTGAAAATTTACTTTTTTTTAGGATAAAGATTAGTTTATGGAAAAAACCACTGGCGCATATACAAGTTTTTTGATGAATGCAATCTGCACAAGCTCATAAGTATCTTGTTTTGTACCGCATTAAACCTTTTTGTGAATACATCAGCGCTCATATGCGTACAGGAAAAGTGACATGATACGCAGTGGAGGAACAACATCTGTTTCTCTTTAAAGTGTCTCTCAGCTCAGTCAAGAAACCTCCACACAGTCTACCAGGTAGTATGCGTATATCCACAGATGAAACCATTTTAAAGTTATCAAAGGTAATTATAAGCGTGTGATCGTGCATTTGTTTTAGTGAATGTTTTTGATGTTTCTCATACTGCATGTTAAATATTCTCATGTCTTGTAGCTGTACTTGATTGTCGACTATGCTCTGACATAAAAGTATTATTATGAGTAATCACAAATAGCATACCACAACCAATATATATTTTGAACATGAACATGGATAGTTCCCTTGGAGCATCTTAGGCTTAAGTGCTGTTTTAATGGGCACAATGTTAATAACTCATGACTCATAGCTTGAAGTGATTGAAGGAACAAGCTTCTTGTTATAGAATAGATCACAGTTCATACATGTACAAATAAGTGCTCAGAATGTGTTTTAATCAAGACAGTCCTCCCTCCCTCTCTCTCTTTAATTATTTATTTATGAGTGGAGAGTCAAGAACAACATGCATGAAAATGTGCATATTTAAAATTAAGCATATTTATGTTCCTTCATTACAGAACAATTAAAGAGTCATCAAAATATGGCCATATTTATAATAATTGGGTTTAAACCTGTGAAAATTAATGCTAAATTAAGCAACAATTGCTTGAATATGAGCATAGGCATCATTCACTGTTTCTTATAAGCAATTTTGCTCCACTGGGTGACATCTCCAAAACACCAACAGCTGTAAACTGAGCATGTGAGATTTCAGAAATAACAGATCCCATGGGTTTTCCTGAGAAAATTACTTTTAGAGAATTGTACTTTCCCCCTCACAAATAAAACCTTTGCCGGCACAAATAAGAACTCTTAGAAGTCAGTGGAAAGCACATCATTCGAAGTGTTGTTAATCTAGGAGAGGACTGTTACAAGTCAAGATTACAGGTGTAAATAAACAACAAATGTCAACAAATAAAAGAAAAAATAGTTGTGTTTGAACATTTATTCCCAGAACATGTTTCTGTTATTGTTGACAGAAGTAAATCCTACTTCCAAATTTCACAACAGAGTGTTCCAGTCCCCTGACTTTGGCAATTACTACTTTCAACATCCAGTTTTCACAATAGATCAGGTTCAACAACAAGCAGTGAGACTGCAGGGGTAATAACTCTGGCCACTGAAATTTGATTTGAAGGGAAAAAAAATCACTTATACGAATTTGTGCCATAGACAGCGGCAGTTCAAGTTCTTTTACTGCCGCTGTAAAATATCTTAATATATATCTTAAGATATAAATATCTTAATATCTTTTAGATTATAAAACAATTCTATCTGGAAGTGTTTTCAAGATCACTAGATTTGCTGTCCAATAATGGAAATAGAAGCAGAAATTCATATATTAAATTACTTTTTTTATTTTTTTATTATAGTCTCATTTCCAAAACACTGAAGTACTAGATAAGACATGATCCTATTCATCCATCAACAGTTATTGTTACTATTCTTCCCTTCAAACGAAAAGTGTAACACTGAGACAAACGGCTTAAAAATATTATTTTTTAAAATATTAAAATATATATTAATATTATTAAAAAGTATATGTACTAGTATATACTGTACATATTTATTACATAAATATCAATATATCAATTTGATAGATACAATTTAATAATTTTACATTTTGATAAATTTAAAGGGGTCCTATTATGCTCTTTTACAAAGTCTTGATTTTGTCTTGGGGGTGTACTAGAACAGGCTCTCATACTAGGTTGTTTGAAAAACACATTATTTTTCACATATTTTACATTATTACAGCACCTCTCTCCCCAGTCTGGCATGAACGGCTCGAATAGTTCCTGTATCAAATGAAGGCCCGCCTTCTGAAATACGAAATGTGCTGTGATTGGTTAGCTGGGCCAGTGAGTATTGTGATTGGCACCACTCGGCGACTGGTCGGGAAATGTCATGCCCCGTACCATAGCCGCCTGCGAGCTTCAGTGTAAATATTGCGTCAAAATCAAATCAATTTGAGCGCGATTTAAACCCGGATGATTGTAACCACTCTAAGTTCGTCTGCCTTGGGAAAGCTAGCGTGTCTCTGACATAGTGATAACACTCGTTGCCTTCTCTAGTGCAGCTCAACCAGGTCTCATCCCATTCGTCGATATTTGTGATATCACAAATCCCGGAAAATATGCGTTGTAGCCCAAACGAGTCGTTCGTTGTAGTTTTTGAAAAGTGATTTCTTTTCAATAAAATATCTCCTTTTGAATTGGACTTTGAGCTTTGCAACATTAGCAACAGCAACATTACAGACTAGCTAAAGTTGAAAAAGTGAAAATGCACAATAGCACCCTTTTAATAGTAAATTTTCCAATTTTGCTTCTTTTGAATGAGTAGTGCCAAACCTGACACATCATATGCAGAGTTGCCAAGTCCACGTATTATACGTGACTTTGGGCTTCTTTTTTGTAAAGTTGAAAAAAATCCCGGGTCGTGGTTTTTTTGTGCTTATTTTAAAAAATATGGTTGCTTGTTAGGGAAATATGACAAGCAACTTAGTTTCTTTATTTATGTTCGCCGTATTCTCCAATGCATTGATTGACACTCTGTCTGCTCACAGTTAATAGCCAACCAGGCGTGCGTTTCCCGTACAACGACGTAACTCACTGATTAACCACCATAGTACGATGCATTGTTGTGGAAACTAACTAGCCAGTCATGAGTATGTTTCCCGAACACGGTCGCATATCCGTCGTTTGAACCACATTAGTTCAACAATTTAGGGCTGTTTTTAATGACGTCACACTCATGTGGTGGAGTAATAACTTCTGCTAATTCATTGATTCGAGATCTCTGAAATGCTGCTGTATTGAACATGGCACCTGATGACTAATTTACTATGTTTTGTTCCCTGTCATTTTGCTTTATGTGATGTTTGATTTATCGCGGGTTTCCTCTTACGTCACACTCCGGAGTTCCCTTAGGCATTTATGCACATGCACACTCTTCAAAAATGGCGCTTATTGAGGATGCGCTAAAATTTATAGATTAAAATGTATATATATTTAAATTGAAAGGAAGACATAGATTGTACTGCATGTTAGCTTGCTTATTGTGCCCAAAAGCATAATATATTTAAGTCCATATGTCTTACTAACAAGAAACTATGCTTCTAACCACAGGTCGAGAGCTGTAGTTCCTACCACGTAAGTGTCAGGGTCAGGACCTGTTTTGTTATGTTTTTCCCCTGTTTCTGTTCCTGTGTTTCCTTATTTGGTCATGTTCCTGTCCTCGTTTAGTTAATTAGTCATTCTGTGCACCTGTGTTTGGTTATTGTCAGAATGAGCTTTATGAATGAGCCTCCAAGTTGTTGAGACTGCACCAGACAGCCAGCTGCTCGACCTGCACCAGACAGCCAGCTGCTCGACACATTGTCCTGTGTTTATAAGTTCTTGTCTGTGCATTTCTCCTCGGTCGGGTCTACTTGTTGTGATCGTCATTCTTGTGCTCTGTGTTTCCCTATTGGATCATTAAAAGACTCTCATTCTGTAAAATCTCTGTAGCTGCTGGAGCAGGGGGAGAGATCGTTTGAGGACCATACGAGACTGTTCCGGCTGTTAGCTAGCACCACCAGCTACCCGGACGACGCGCTCTGCTCATTCTATGACACGAGCTTGAACAGCGCCGTCGTCCGAAGATGGTCCTCGAGAGGATTTCGCTGCCTTCGTGGAGTGGACTCTGGCAAGTAACGGATTCCCCGGATGTGGAGCCCCACCCGTCAGACCAGGTGTGAGAGCCGGCAACAGTGCCCACCGCGAGGAAGCAAGCCGTGGACGGTGAGAGCGCGGAGTGGAGCTCCGCCCACTGCACCGCGGCTGAGGGTGAGCTAATTATACATCTGGGACTGCTGTACTTAGAAGGAGACCCGATAGACTGGGAAACTGATCTGGAGGTCGACTTTTCCCCCTCTCCTCTCTCCTTCGTCCCTGCTGGTCCCGTCCAGCCCTGAGGGGGCTCCCGTTTCCCAGTCCAGCCAGGAGTGGGCTCTGATCCCCGAGGGCAGCCCTGAGAGCCCAGAGGCTGACGAATGCCCACCCAACCGCCCGCTCCTGCCTCCTCCACCGCTGTCGTCTGGCAGCCCCTCTGCTCGCCCTCAGCCCACCATCAATACGGTGCGAGCGCC